TTTCTCATTGATATTAACTGGGATACAGTACGAGTTACATATACCCCATCTTTCGGTGTTTTTAGTTTACTTTTTATTACAGAGTATTATGAAATGTTTCGTGAGTACTGTTTAATCTAAATATAAAATAATGTTATCTGAAATGTAATGTAGTTAATGAACAATTTTATTATCAAATAAAATAAAATGTGTGAGGGTTGGTTTTAATATTAAATTAACTTAATTGAAATACGACATGACTGAGGTTTAATTTTATTGTTAAATTATGTTAATTTAAACAAAAGTTTAATAAGGTTTGTTTTAATTTTAAATCATGTTAACTGAAATATAACAGGATCAAATATTATTATCTTAATTTATTGATATTATCACTAAATTCAAATTCTATTAGTGAACGATATAAGGAGGAATACAGTATGACAGAAGTGAAACCTTACTATTGAAAGGTCTTAACTTTGATGCCATCTGATTAGTTTTTGTTTTGTTGCCCGGCGATGTGAACAATAAACCAACATATTTAAAGTACAGTGACTCTAAGACAAATATAAACGAGTAACTTAATTTTATTATTCAAACATTTTAACTAGAAGACCAGAAAATGGTTAAATGTTATCACTTAATGAAACTAACAGGAATAAAATACGATTTAAGTTAAACTTTCAGTGATATTAAACCTAAACAGGAATATAACGCAACTAAAATACATTATGTTTGATGTTCTATTAAGCACTCAAAGGTTTTAGGTAGAATAGAATATGAAAACCTGAAAAATAGCATGATCAAAATTAGATTAAGCACATTTGATGTTATTAATTAGAATACACAATAGCTAGAGCTTAATTACATGCACATTTGTATTAACCCGAATCTGATACGACTAAAGTTTCACTTACAACTCAATAAAAATCAAATTAAATATGACTAAAGTTTAACTTACAACTCAATAAAAATCAAATTAAATATTACTAAAGTTTAACTTACAACTTAATAAATAATCAACTAAAATATGATTAAAATTTAATAAAAATTCGACATTATTAACAGAAAAATAATTAAAGCTTGATTAAGCTATCAGCAATGATTACTGGAATTAGATATTACAAAAGGTTCATTGAGCACTCAGCTATAATAACTGGAATAAAATATGACTAAAGGTTAATTAATCACTCGCCAATAATTACTAGAATAAAAGATAAATAAATATTGATGAAGCACTCGAAAATATTTACTGGAATAAAATATGCATAAAATTTATCTTTCCGAGTTTTAGACTTACCATCCAGTAACGTTAGCAGGAATGTCACACAAAGACAAGAAAGGGTTAAAGACGAGACCTTCGTCACAACTCAACAAGCGAGGAACTCTTCTGGTACCAATGGTATCGTTGTTGTCTACCACACACACGAACAGCTTTTTACAATCTGAGGAGTGAGGGTAGCGTGGGTTGCCGAAGAGTCGAATTTCCTCGGGAGTTGGTTCAGGACATTGGAAACCCAGAAATGCTGAATTAAAGCAAATATATTTTTGGTCAGAAAAGTGAAGCGAAAAACACAATATGAATTGAAAAAACAAAACAACAATGAAAAAACATTTAAGCACGGAAAGTTATCTAAAGCATATACAGCCTTGAATCTTGAGTAATTTTTATCCTCAATCAACTCGGTTATTCGGGAAAATGTACCTTATAAATAGTAGATATGATTTATTATTATTTCGTAAGCGAAGTCATAGTAGATAATTGACATTGTTATCAAACAGTGTCAGTTAACTTATTGCAAAACTACGGAATGGATTATCTGTGGTCTGCCTATTGAAAGTATCAAACCCAATTTTTAGCGTTATAAGCCATGGTTAGCAATGATATTAGTCTTGCCGTGATGCTACCAACCAATTAAATACCTTTTTGTTTGTTCGTTTTTAAGCACACAGCTATAAAATGAGTTATCTGTGCTCTGCCAATCACGGGTATCGATACTCGATTTTTAGCGTTATAAGCCCTCAGTAACGTAACTTAACGAATACAATTCTTAGTGCATTAAACACCTCCTGTTGTTGCGAATTATCTCAGGATAATTACTTCTAACATTTTGTTTTAGTTCGTTCGTTCGTTTGAAGTTAGCACAAAGTTACACAATGGGCTATCTGTGCTCTGCCCACCACGAGTATCGAAACCCGGATTCTAGCGTTGTAAGTCCGCAGGCATACCGCTGTACCATTGTGCCCTTTATTTTTCACAACTCAATCAAAACCAAGATAAACATGCGATTTTAATATATATGTAAATATAAACATTATTTGAACAGTTAAGTTAATATCTATATCAAAAGGAAGGACTACGTTAAAAACAGCAAGACCAAATCTATGAGGAAATAAAACATATCTGTAATACTAAACAAGCCTTTATAAAAGCACAATGTTACATAACCAAACTAAAGTCAGCAGGGCACAGGTTACAATGTGGGAAATATAAGACGCGTCCCGGTCTTTGGAGGGGACTAAGGAAGTAAGTTCCGCATATCAATGGGTATACAATGTCTACCAGTCTTAACCTCCGTTCGTAAAGCCCTGTCACTTCTCTGTGGCCCTGATGATACATGTCAGAGTTAATAACAATCGGTTCAGTGTTTGGCCAATTATAGATGGACACACACGCATACAGGTTTTTGTCAAATAATAGTTTATAGATATAAGTGTATTTGTGTATGTACGTACGGTTTAGTTCAAAGCCATCAATACACTGACACTACAAACACAAAAACGTTGTAGTAAAATCAAACTACAGCTTAGCAGACTTGATGGCAGCAATACAATAGCAGCAAAAGAAACAAGAAGAACGAGAAAATGAACGAGAAAAGAAACAAGAAGAACGAGAAATTAAACAAGAAGAGAGGTTACAGCAGTTGTTAGAAGAAAAAGAAAATAAACAAGAAGAAAGATTACAGCAGTGGCAAGAAAACCTACAACAATGGCAGCTTGAACAGCAAAATAAACAGATTACAGCAGTGGCAAGAAAACCTACAACAATGGCAGCTTGAACAGCAAAATA